TAAGTCATTTAGTATTACGGTCTGATAGTACTTCTTTTCACTTGTAAATGAGAGGTCTTAGGTTTGATACTCATCAAACACGAATTTGAACCATATTATTGGTAACCCATTGTGAGGCTTAACCCACTCCCCCATTCCCTTAGTGTAGATAATATCTTCTTTTTTTTAATATATAGGTAAGAAAATCATTTTGCTTCTAAACTTTCCCTTTATGTTTACTAACACGCAATGAATTAAAAAACTGTTATTTTTTTTTTCTTAAAATCAATAATCAAATACTTAAAAATCAATAAACATATCAAATAGGAAGGGCTGGTTGATGCGATTTCCCATCCTCACCTTTCCTATTTTTAAGTTCTTTCATTCCCTCAATTTTTTCATTTCTTCTTTATAATTTTTTGAGTTAAGCTCTTAAACTCTTTTTGTCTTTTCTTATTTGTAAGCTCTTGAACTTTTATACAATTTCTTGAGCAGATTTAAATGGAATCTTGTATTGTGACAAATTTCACTTTATTCATTGGAAACTATTGGATCTTTTTTATTATTTAAATCTTTATATGATTGGCTACCTACCCTTAATTGGTTTGGGTGTAACTATTTTGACCCTCCTTCATTTAAATTGCTCTTCTTACATGTTTATTTGTTTGTTTTGCAAAATAAAATTTCAATAAAGAGAGAAGTCACTTGACAACCAAGTCTAGTATAATCAAGAGAAGCACATTCAGAGCCACACTAGGAATAGTTATTCTATCCCAATTATAAAACCCATCAACTTTTGAGATGCCTACATCGTCTGCATGAAACGTCGTAGATTTGAAAAGACATCAACATTACATATAACACAAGCAGAAGACTCTGGCACCAATTCATCGTGTTCCCTATCTTGACTTAAGTTCTACATGTACGCTTTATTAATTTTGTTTCGGAATGGCTGTAAGCCCGTAAGGCACTGTAATTTTGGATGGTATTTAACAACCTAAGGGCATGCTCGTCGTGTAAACCAAAAGGAGATATATCCACTGTAAACCAAAACAATTCTTACTTAGACATGGTTGGTTCAAGCTTAGCAAGGAAAAAACAAAAGCAAAGGCACATGGTTTTGTTCAACCTTTAAGTTACTAAATAGAAATAGAAAACCTAAACTTATTCATTTGCATGCACTTTAAAATGGAATCCCGCATGACACAATGAGACTCTTATAATTATTTTAAAAAGAAAATGTTAGGACATCATATTTTTTATTTTTGTACAACATTGGTATATCATTTGATGTGACAAGTGATGTATACATGTCACGTCAATAACGGATTTATCTCATTTTATGTCAATTGTATACATCACTTGTCACTTGAAATGATACACTACTGTGATATCAATATGTGGTATCCCTCTAGCATTACTCATTAAAAAATTATACTTAAGGGCATCTTGTTTTTTTAGTCCCTGCTTATGAATGGTATGGTTAATTAGGCCAATTTTCTAGCAGTGCAAGGTTACACTTAACCGTATATGAGAAATATTATCGTTAAGTCACATAGTCACACCATGCATTAGCAAATAAGTATTGAATTCGCCAATAATTCAAAATTAAAAATTCATACTGTAACGATAATCTCACCTATAGTTAAACAAAAGAGTTCACTTTGAACATTATACTTACAAATGAATATGAATATTATGGCTAGACCATTGTTAATCTTCATGAATCGAAGAACATATACTATGTAATCTTTGTATTGAAAGCAAGAACTAGAGAGAAAGTAGAGAGAAGAAAGAGAGGGAAAGAATTTATGAATATATTGATTTCTTAACATGTAAGTAATACAACAATCTGTCTTATATAGACAGTCACAAAGCTATTAATCTAACTAACTAAATCCATAAGATTGTGACAAGTGTCATGATCATAGACCATTGAACACATACTCTAACATCCCCCTCAAGCTCATGCTTTGAGCAACCAAGCATGAGGTTGATACAATGTGTTTGAAATAGAGTACCACTTAAGCCTTTGGTCAATATATCAACAAACTGATCTTTTGAGGAGACAAACTGCACTGACAACTGTTTCTTGGCTAACCTTTCTCGAACAAAATGCACATCTATCTCAATATGCTTAGTCTTCTAATGTTGTACTGGATTAGATGACAGTGTAATGGCAGACAAATTATCACAGAACGGAACAGGAAGCAAGGGAATGTGCATAAATGCAAGAAGTTGCTTAATCCAATCCAATTTAGCTTCAGTAGAGGACCTAGACATAGTTTGTTGTTTCTTTGATGACCCGGAGATCAAATTGTTACCTAAAAACACAACTAACCTAGTAATGGACCTCTTGTCATTGGGATCCCCTGCCCAATCAGCATCACTAAAGGCCTTGAGTTGTAAATCTCCTCTAGTGTATGTGACACCAACATTCAAAGTTCCTTTTAAGTACTTGAGAAACCGTTTTACAGCAATATAATGAGCCACCATAGGATTCTACATAAATTGGCATACCTGATGTACTGAAAATGCAATGTCAGGCCTAGTAAAAGTGAGGTACTGTAAGGCTCTTACAATACTTCGATATGTACCAAGATTTGCATAAAGAACTCTATCATCTTTAAGAAGTCTATTATAGGGAAGGTAAGGTGTATCACAGGCTTTTTCTTCAAGCATTTCAGTTTTTACTAATAAATCCTTAATATACTTAGTCTGAGATAGAAATAAGCCACTTACAGTCTTGGTAATCTGAATTCCCAAGAAAAAAATGTAGTGAACCCAAGTCTTTGATATCAAATTCAGAAGTAAGAGCATTGATAACCTGTTGAATGGAACTTGTAGCCTTCCCAGTGATTATATCATCCACATATAGCAGAAGAATCAAAATCTCATTATCAACATATTTTACAAACAAAGAGGAACATTAATATGTATTGACAAATCCCAACTCAGGCAAAAACTTAGTAAATCTATCATTCCAAGCTCTAGGAGCTTGCTTCAAGCCATAGAGTGATTTGTGAAGCTTACACACTAGATTGGGATGAATATAATCCTAAAAACTAGGTGGCTGAGTCATGTATACTTCTTCTTCCAAAATACCATGCAAGAAGGCATTTTTGACATCTAATTGCCTAATATCCCAACCAAAATTAGAAGCAAGAGAAAGTACTAACATCACAATAAGGGCTAAATGTTTCACTATTGTCTAAACCACGTTCTTGACCAAATCCTTTACGTACCAATCGAGCTTTGTGTATTGCAATGGAACCATCAGAGTGTTTTTTTATTTTGGAAATCCACTTGCAACCAACAAGGTTCTTAGTGGATGGCAAAAAAGCCAAACTCCAAGGACCCTGAGCCTGAAGAGCTTCCAGTTCTTCTTGCATATCTTTTAACCATATAGAACTCTTGAGAGCTGACTTATATGTACTTGGTTCAATTGTTGACAAATCAAACCCCCTCCCCCTCACGGGGAATATGCTAGCAAAGCCTTCTTCTTAATAATTCCACTGCTTCTAGTTTGCATTGGATGCAAATTGATAGGAGGAATGGACAACACTACTTAAAGAGTATCAAGATGAAACTCATTGTTCTCATAATATAGTGCAGTACTTGGATCAGGTGTCATAGAGAGCTGAGGTGAAGATTCATTTGCACTAGTAATGGACTGAGAACTAATAAGTGAATATGTTGTTTCTGGATGAATATATGGTGTATGAGATGGAGTTGGAGTTGATACATGTAATGATGTAGAAGTAGGAATGGGTGATGGTGACATAATCACATTGTTTGTATTGACCACAGATATAAGAAGATAAGATATATTGGGAACTGGTGAAGTAGTTTTAGCAATGGTTGATTGTGTCAATAAGTTTGCATATGGAAATTGTTGTTCATAAAAAATGACATGCCTAGATACATATATCCTTCTCTTAGACACTTCATAACATAAATACCCTTTGTACTTAGATGCATAGCCTAGAAAAGGTTGAAGCTTGGTATTGTTGAATGGTTTTAACAGAGGAAAACATGCACAACCAAAGATTCTAAGGTATGAAATAATTGGAACAATCGCAAACAATAGTTCAAATGGTGACTTATTCTTAAGAATAGCTGTGGGCATCCTATTTATAAAATAGGTAACAGTTTGGCAAGCATAGGACCATAATTGAGATGGCAGTTTAGCTGTTTGTAATAAAGTAACAGTGGTTTCGATAATATGCCTATGCTTGTGTTCAGCTAACCCATTTTGTTCAGGTATGTATCAAGAACATATACTATGTAATCTTTGTATTGAAAGCAAGAACTAGAGCGAGAAAGTAGAGAGAAGAATGAGAGGGAAAGGATTTCTGAATATATTGTGTTTGTACCATATTTAGGGCATTTGTATTTAGATCTCGTATAAATACTCGGGGGACTCAAATATAATTATGTAATAAATGAAGGGACAAATATGTAATAAGTGAGGAGCCCTTATTCTATAAAAGGACTCATCACTCTCCTCATTGGAGAGGCCAAGTTTTAGGCCATGGGAAGAGAGCACACAGAAAATAATCCAGAGAGTACATTGCCTCTAACCTTCTTGTATATTCACCATTTAGAGTGAAACAATATCAACATCAGTGTGGATGTAGCCTAAACATTGGGGTGAACCACGATACATCTTGTGTTCTTTACTTTCTTGCAGATTCACAATCGGATTACGTTGTTCCAAGACCTCTCGGTTTTGTGCATCAACATTTGGCGCCGTCTGTGGGAATCCACACGAAAGACTATGTCGATTATTTTTCATTTTTTTTCATCTCACCACCGTGAAACCTCACCACAATCTCCATCTTGAATCTGCAAAACCAAAGGAAACACAAACACCCCAACTTTCTGATTTCTTCCGCCCGATTTCGAGTACTCTCCGCCGTAAAAAATCAATTCTTTCGAGAAACCCATCTCGCAATGTTCGCTTGATTGGTTTCCCAGTTCAAGGAAGCGACACAAACGGCAAGGGCCACACTCCGGCCATGGGGTGAGCTCCTGGAGCCCACTACCATCAGCCTCCCCTCCTGTCTATCTGACATGATAACCTGACTCGCCCAGAACTTGAACCACTTCCATTCCAACTACGCCCTGATCGTGCTCTTCCTCAGCCTCGTCTACCACCCATTCTCTATCATCGTCTTCTTGATCGTCGCCGCGTGGCTCGTGCTCTACTTCTCTCGTGACCAGCCCCTCGAGGTGTTCGGGTTTGTGGTCTCGAACCAAGTCGTGATGGTTGTTCTTGCGGTGGTGACGGTTGTGGCTCTGGTCCTAACTCACATGTGGGTCAACGTCATCGTTTCGAGAGTGATTGGGGTCGTTTTGATTGGGCTGCATGAGGTGTTTAGAGAGACGGAGGATCTTGTTATGGATGATCAAGAATTGTCGTATGGGGCTCTGCTCTCGGATGATACTGACCCAAGTGGGAATTACACCATTATGTGACTGTTTCCCTCTAAATTTTATAAGGTTTGATGTTTCCTGTTTCGAAACTCATGCTCTGCGGATTCTGAAGATGTGAGAGCTTGGAGGTATTTGCTAAGCTGAGAATAGTAGCATTCAAGATGTAGCAGAAGCTGAAAGAGAAAGACATGCGGCAGAAAGTGATCATTCAAACCAGCCAGCCAGTGGAGATCAACACAACTGACCTCAGATGGGTTTTTCCATCAATCTCCTGGCAATTGCTCAACTCTTTCCGTCAAGCACTCACCAGTGATCTGATCGAAGTCTCATTCAACAATTGGGAAGCCTGCAGAAAGCGATCCTTTGAACCAAACAACCAGCGAAGCTGAACAAAATCATGATGTTAGAAATCTATCCTTCAATCATGATGTTAGAAAAAGAAAAGGGAGGATGGGCTAAACGTGGGCTGTACTAGTTGTTAAGAAAATATTTCAGAAAAAGAAAAGGGAAGAAATGAGTAGAAAGGAGAAGTGACAAGAATAAAAGCAGAAAGCTAGTGAGCTGGAAATGCAAGTGTGGGAGATCATTGCAAGCATCCAATGCAGTCTCCTCAGACTCCATGGGCATCGACCACCAGTAAAGCGAAAGCAGAAGGCAAAAGTAGAAAAAGGGAAGAAAATAATGAAAAAGGAAAAGATGTCTGGAGATGGAGAAAAGCCAAGGAAGTGGAAAGCATGGCACAATCATACCCACTATTATTGATGAATATTTTATTAAGTTATCTTCTGCAGACTAGAGCAATTATTGTACAATTATGCTGATGTATAAAGAAAGAAGGCAACATGCCAAAAAAAAAAAAAACAGCAAGCCCAAAGTAATGGGCTGGATTGTTATACGAAGGGCGAATGCCCATATGCCCAAAAGAATCAGGCCTTATGGCTTCAAACTCCAACCCTCATCCCTCCACTTAAGGTTCACCCTCTATTATCACCAACCAGGTGATCAAAAGTACGTCAAGTACTCCAAAATTATTCGGCAGCCTGCCGCTATTATTACCAACTAGGTGATCAAAAGTACATCCAGTACTCCAAAATTATACATGAGCATCACTCATGTCAATCATACATAAACATTTATGAGCATCACTCATGTCAATCATACATAAACATTCATGACCATCACTCATGTAAACATTCATGATCATCACTCATGTCAAAATCCATGAGCATCACTCATGTCAATCAACATACACATTCATAAGCATCACTCATGTCAATCAACTTCGAAAGCTTCATTTACAAAGCTCCGACTTCAAAAGTTTCATTTACAAAAGCTCCAGCTTCAAAGCTTCACTTGCAAAGCTTCACCTACAAAGCTTCAGTGCAGGGTATATAAAGACCGCCTCTGAACAACTGTCATTTCGGCCCATACATGGATTCAATTTGAAGTCTCCAGCCAACAGACTCTATTGACTGAAGACTTGGGGGACTACACTATGTACCATATATTGGACTTCCGCAACTGGGCCTCATAAAAAAATACTTGGGGGATTTAGCCCATTATTTATGTACTGAGGAGCGAACCCTTATTCTACAAAAAAGACTCCCTCACTTTCATTAGAGAGCACCCATTATTTACGTATTGAGGAGTAAACCCTTATTCTATAAAAGGGACTCCCTCACCATCATTAAAGAGCATCGCCGCCAGTTGAGCAACCGCCTCGCCGCGAGCATCACTCCTAACCCATCACTTATGTATTGAGGAACGAGCCCTTATTCTATAAAAGGGATGCCCTCACCATCATTAGAGAGCATCGCCACCTGTTTAACAACCGTCTCGCCGCGAGCATCAACTCTAGCCCATCATTTACGTATTGAGGAGCGAGCCCTTATTCTATAAAAGCGACTCCCTCACCTTCAACGCCACAAGCCGAGCCAACCAAGGCAACATAAAGCCACAAGCCGAGCAGCCTCACAACATGTGCTACTTCTAGTTGAGCATCATTTCACATTGAGCACCACCTCATATCGAGTATTCAGTTCTAGACGACATCTAGTTACTTCGGTCCACACATGGACTGAATTTCAAGTCTCTAGCCAAAAGACTCTCTTGACTGAAGACTTGGGGGATTACTGTTTGTACCACACTTAGGGCCTCTGTATTTAGATCTCGTATAAATACTTAGGGGACTCAAATGTAATTATGTAATAAATGAAGGGACAAATATGTAATAAGTGATGAGCCCTTATTCTTAACGTGTAAGTAATACAACAATCTGTCTTATATAGATAGTTACAAAGCTATTAATTTAACTAACTAAACCCCTAAGATTTTGACAAGTGTCACAATCATAGACCATTGAACACATAATCTAACAATAATGGTGGTGGTAATAATATATGAGATTTGAGATACATAAACATACATAACTTCTGACTTTATAATTCGAAGATGAAAACATATTAAACCAGTAAAAATAATGTTTATCTTGTTTGCAACATATGTACATGATCCCATAAACAATAATAGTATAATGATAATCTTATACATAGTTAAACTTAGAATGATAAAGAAATGTGAATGAATATTTCGGCAAAAGTTTAATAGTGCAATGAAAATTTTCCCATTACATAAAAGTTTTAATATTTATTAGTTTAGACACTTTGTTTAAGTACAAGCATCTTCAAAGTAGATGTAAAAAAATCCTTAGTGGACTGTTTTGACAAAAAGAAAGTGGTTTTCTGGTTCCAAAGGAGATGCCATAATTCTACATGGATTGAAATTCTCCACCTTGCTGTCAAATTTGAGGGCAATGTCAAATTTTTTTTTGTTTGAAAATAATGTTTGGTCCACGTATTTTTTTTTATTTATTTTTCTTCACTTATGGATGATTTTATTCTTAAACTTTGACCTATTTGATTTTATAAATAACCAAAAAACATTTTAATTTGACATCTCATTAAGAATAGGAGACTTTACAAAATGTTATTTCGTCACATTAACTATAAAAATACATTTTAATTTGACATCTTCATTGGAGATGGTCAAAGAGATCTTAAGTTCAACTCTCATTGATGACGAGTTTGATACCATACATTATGTGACTCATTGTGTGGCCAAGCATATCTCTACCTCTTAGTTTAATATATCAAAACATTTTGAAAATGAATATGCGCATGTGTAATATATTAAATGCAAACTTACTAACTGTTGAATAAAGCAAAAAGTCTCACATGAGCCATCTTGCAATACAAATTACAACTTATATCAAATGATTCCACTTCTAATTGCATCGAGGCCTTTTGCATAGAAATCTCACATATTGATTGCACAGATGATTAAATGGGTACAATATCGATGCTTTAAGTAATGGACAGTGACCCATCTCACTGAAACTTTAATTTGGTATTAGAGTAAGTTTTTAGATTTGGGTCCCAATTATTGGGATCATTTACAAACATGACCAATGTAGCTTCACGTACGTGCCAACTCCAAAGTGATCCAACTTAAAGGGGTGTGTTAAATAAAGTAAAAAGTCCACATCGGTCATCTTACATAACAAATAATAATTTATATCAAATGATTACACTGCCAGTTGCATCAAGGCTTTTTGCATAAAAACTGCACACTGTTGATTAATTGTACCGGTAATTAAATGAGAACAATATTGATACTATTAGTGTCTTATTTGAAACTTTAACTCTAACTAGAGTCTTACTATCTTAATTACGTATCCTCCAGAGATGCTACCATCCTCAGTGCTCTAGCTGCCCATAACCTTCTAACCATTTCTCTAATTTCATTTTTACAGCTACAAAATGGGGGTTATGTATCTATGGTGGTGATTCAAAACATTTAATATGTAATGTGATTGGTTGGGTGACTTTGGTCCCACTTTGCTTGCATAATGTCTCTGCAACCCATTTTATTTCTTCTCAATAATTGAGTTTTTTTTAATTTATTCGTATGAATCACAAATAATTGAGTTACTGAGTTGATACCCCCCTCTATCTCTCAATACGTCCGTCTCAAGTATTTATATATCGTTATTTTAACTGATGAAATTGGAGGATTGGAACTTTGAATTTTTATTAACATTTAAAAAACAATAATAATTCAATAGATTAACCATGCACACCTAAAGTCTTGGTTTTGAGTTTCCCTTTTCTACTATCGCTTCTATTAAAATAAAAATACAATATATCGAGAAAGGGTTAATTATCGGAATCGGTTATGAATCCTTACCAGTTAGCTAAACATATGTCCTTTTCATATATAAAATCTTGGATGAATGGAAGCACACAAAAGTCATTTAATTAACGTCGCAAAGTGTACGTATGATTACTATGAAGCCTTTTAATACCAAGTTGATGAACTTTAAAACCTCAGAAGGAAAACCTGCATGTTAAATGCTATTGCTACCTAGTTATTTCTTTCGATTTTTCTTTACTAAAAAAGAAGGGATATTTGCAAAGGTTTAATATTGCAATGTGTAACAACAAAACTACGTCACTACGATAGGACTAGTCCCAACTAAGTATCGATATCATCTTAGACAATGTTCTCCTCATAAATCTTGGGTGTCTAACATGAGTTACCTTAGTCAATAATATATGCACACAAAAAAAAAATTAAAAAGGAAAAATCTGTCCAAAAAAAGTGACATTTTGGTGTAGGTCGCAACCAAACCCAAAAGGTCAATACTTTCTCTCATGAATGTATACACATTTTATTAACTTGCAATGGCTTTAATTCAACACTTCGAATTTATGACATTATCAACAAAATAAAAAAAAATTATGACCATTATCTTTTGGGTGACTTATTATATACGGGAGGAAATAATAGCTCGTCAATGGCCGACTTCTGCATGGCCCAGTTGCCCACGTGGCCTTACGAGCGCCAAAGTTTGTCCTAAAGTTGATGATTAATTTTCATAACCAAGGGTAATTTGGGCATTACAAGTCAATTGATGAAAAATCTGAATTATTACAGAGACAATCTCACGGAATTGATTAGGTCATTTCCCTAATAGAATAGTG